TCAAGCCCTCCGCCTGGGGGCCCAGCTTTGCAAATGGGCACATAATCAAACAGAAAGGAGGCAAAGGCGGGGGGTAGGAAAAAGGGTAAATAGCCCTTTTTTCCTGTCACTTCTGCCATGGGTCCTCAGCAGCTCCTCTGCTCCTGGCTGACTGGAGTATTAGGAATCCAACATCTGTGCGATGTGAGGCAAAGCTCTACCTGTGCCACTGCTGTGCAAGGCACAGAGAATGCCAGCTGCCCAGCTGCTCTACTTCAGGTGAGCCAGGAAAAGCCATGAAAAATAGATAATCCAAAGTGTGATAAGCCAGGTACTGCGTGTCAGGGAACTGGATTGTCGTGCTGGGCATTAGCTGTGCTGCGTGATATGTCATTTGGTTATCTGGTCTGTTTCTTAGACAAATCTTCCAGGAATCAGGGACTGTCCACCAGGCTAATTTTTTTTACTAGAGATTTCATTGCTCTGCTGAGAGCTGAAAAGCACATAAGTATTTACTCTTGTCCAAGTCATGCCATCCAAATTACACAACCTCTAGTGAAGACAAAGTAAATTGTGAGGGGGCAGATTCACTCATGATACTTCTGTTGCCTGATACTATTTGTTAATGGACAAAATACAGCATGTCCCTGAAAAATGTTTAAAAACAAAAATTAAAAAAGAAACAAACCCAGCAGAAAATAGTTTTTCTGCTGTTTAAAGAAGTATCAAGTGTTTCCACTTCAGGCTCTGTAAATCAGAATTACTTCAGGTTTTGCATGCATATGTATCATTTTAGATAAGGCAATGAAACATGAGTCATACCTGTGAATATCAAAAGCAAGACTGTTGCATTGGTTTAAGGCAGAGGAAGCACCAATTTAAGTTTAAGAGCTGTTTTAGTCCTTATTTTCTGTGGTACGAACTCTGCATTTACAATCCTTCCTCCACCCTCTACTATTCATTCACACAGTAATATATTTTAGCAATATTTATCTCATTTTTAAAATTTTTTATTTAGAGAAGTTTTAAAATTATCTCTGGAATGTTCAGTTTTGGTATTTTCAGTGATGCAAGGGGAAATTTGCAGACTATTTACAAGATTCAGGTCCTAAACATGCTGCTGATGTTTGTTTGGTTTTCTTTACTTCAAATGAGTTTCCAGAAAAGCACGTTGTTGGTTTTTTTTTTTCCTTATCTATTTTACTACTCTCATGCCCATTGTCATTATGGATGGAGAAGCTTGCTCTGCTGTCAGAAATACCACTGGGGCTACATTTCCTATTGGGCTTTGTTCATTCACCACCCCCCCACCTCCCAGACTCCAGTAAAATACACTTCAGTGTTTGGGACTTCCCATTCATTCCGATTAAAACAAAGCCAGCAAAGTTTCCCCCACCAAACTGTGTGCCTGTTTTGAAGAGACAGCAGCCACCGGCTCTGGTTTTGTTGGGGATGAAAAGAGGGCATCGCAGCTGTAAGGCAGTGCAGACGTGTGAAATGGGTTTCACACGCTGCTCAGCTACCAGTGGGGTGGCCATGTATGATTCAGTCTGCGCTAAGTCAAGAAAAGGAAAAGCCTTCAAAGCCACGCCAGCCATCACCTCTTACAAACCCTAAGTACCCCTTTTGACTGCCATTGCTTTGCTGAAAATAACACATTTAGTCATTTGTCATAATTATAAGAGTCCCAGTGACAAGGAATGCGGGCCCGCCTTTTAGCGCTGCCAGGCCTGTGATAATGCAGCCAGCGGGAGACTGCTGCTGCCAGCAAACTGCGGTCGCTGTGCCAGCGACGCTCCTGCCGAAAGGTCATGCGTGACCTCTGCAAGCAGTTCATCCCAGATGATTGATCGTCTCGCAGCAAAACTAATAATTACATAGCTCTTCATTGCCATTCATCTTCGTAACATGAAATTTATCCTGGTGTGAAGGATCCAGGCCAGGCTGTAGTAAACTGTTGAGCTAGAAGCCTACTAAAGCCCCACAGATGCAACTCAAACTGCCCGTCCCACCCCTCTTTTAACTTTTTGCTTTCTGCAGGTATTTCCCAAAGACAATGAACAATGTAATCTTCTGTGTTCACATGTATTATTTCAATATTTCTATTTTGTATTTCTAAAGCGTAATATACAAAACTCAACCAAACTTATTCTGTTTGCTTTCTCCACACTCTCAGTGTGCACGTTACTATTATAGCATGTTTCTGTGACTCACAAATCTCTACTTTTTACCAATATCCATTTAAACACCTTTTTAACAAGAAGAATGTAAATATACTTTTCCAATCCCTATCAGTTACCTAGGATCCTCAAGTTTTTTGCAGCAAACATTGCTTTCTCACACATGGAAAAGACCTTCTGCACCCACTCAAACAGACTCAGAGCCCTTCAGAAGTGTGAGTGCAGAGTCCTGCAGGGATGGCTGCACTTGCCAGAAAACCTCATCAGGAAAACATACTTATGTAAATACGGGGAGGCACACCTCAAGGCAGCAGAAGTGAAAACTTTCTGCTGAGGGTGTATGTGAAGTGTACCTCTTTGACATGGAGCTATTTCTAGATCCCCATGGAAGGAGTGAAGGAATGGAAGTGAAATTGTTTGAATCTCTACATTTCCCCACACCCCAGCCAGCAAGCGAGCATCTATCAACAGGGGCTTTGTTTTCCAGTGAAGTATCAGTGAACATCCTGAACTTGCACTTGGGAGAGGTAACGTGAGATGAAAATTGTGTATACACAAACACTCCCAGAGTTAATTCTAAACAAGGGCTTCAGGACACAGTCACCACGTGCTGAAATGCTTGGAGACCTGTTTGCTTTAAGCTGATGTCTCTTAGTCTTTTACACCAAAGCAACAACCAGCTGCCAGGGTGTTCCATTCCTCTGCACCCTACAGACTAAGATGTAGAAAAAATGTGTATATCCAAACTAAGGAAGAAAAGAGTCCTAGGAAACCCTTTCTTTGTGCTTCTGGGATGCAGCTTACATATACCTTAGCATGTCTTAATGGGGAGCCAGAAGTGTTCTGGACAGCTGAACACTTCTGACAGCTTAATTTTAGGAATCACCTCTGATCAATAAGACAGAAATTTCACATTTGAATCTTTATCTACTTGAATCATTCACATCTGAATGTCTCATTTACCAAGTAGGGAGCAGGCTCTGATGTTTGCTCTCTTATTGTGGAAAACTCATTCAACTCTATTTACAAATCTTCCGTTAGTGAAATTTGTTGGTAATAATCTAGCACTGAGTAGCATATTCTTCTGAGAATAGTCAGTTAAATTAGCCTACTTGTGAAACGATGTCTTGGTTTACACAAGTAAACATTTTAGACTTAGAAACCATGTTATTGATAACTTGGTGGCTAAATCCTTATGGCTTTACTTGTTTGTTTTTTTTGTGTAGCCTATTTCTTTGTCCAATCTACTGTTACATGCACAAGTAGCATCCTTCAAATGTCTGAAGTCAGGACCCCAAGCTCTTGACAAATGCTAGGAATATCTCTTAAGATGTTACCAGACAAACAGCCTTAAATGAGAAGAAACACAAAGATCAAAGAATGAGCTTTGTTCACTATAGCAAAACTGCCGTCTGCTCATACTCTCAAAGGATCCAGCTTTACCCTCCCAAGTTTGTTTTGTTTTGTTTTGCTGATTACACTACTTTCTTGTAGCTCATCTACAGTGAATAAAATTTTCTTTTAATTTAAAAAGAGGTCTCGTGCTCTATTTTTACTGCAAGGAAAACATACTGATTTCCCCTCCCCCTAGCAAAAAACAGTGCAGGAACCCAGTCCCTGGCAGCTGCTGCTGACTTTAAGCACCATATATAAGGTATTAAACCACCCACTTTATGTTCTAATAACATTAACAGTCTCACATGAACCAGGACATTCAGGTTAAAGCTAAAATTCTCTCCTTAAGTCACCACATTGTGTCTAGGTACAGTATTGCAGCACTTAATCAGGGGGCCTCAGAGCAGTGGGGGGTTCATACCATATGTGCTATAATACCTAAGCACAGCGGGGTGAGTTAAGGACAGAGTTTTAGACTTAACTCTGAATTTTTTTGGTTCTGCTAGTCCCATGCTTAATGTTTTGGAAAAAAAAAAAGGAAAAAAAAAAAAGAAAAAAAGGCTAAAAAAAGCATTCTATGTGTCTGGGGAGTTACTTTCCTGTTAAAAAACAAACCAACAACAGAAAACGTGTTGTGAAGGACAGTGCACAAGTGAGGGTGATTTCTCAAGAAAAGATGAAAGTCGGTATCCAATACCAACCACCTACAATGCTAGCGTGGGCATGTTGATATTCTACAAACATTTATGCAACTTTCAAACACATTAACTTAAGCCAGGTGTCTAATAAAGCTATATTAAAAACACTTTTTTCTACAGGAACTTTATAGTTCTTAAACCCATTTACGTTAATTATATTGTGTTTGATTTCTTAGTGTCATCCAGGACACAGCCTAGAGTTTAGATAGTACTGCAAAATACATTTTCTAATGAGATGCTTGCAGTTTAAAAATCAATACTATTTGTGCTAGATTTGTACTTCTTCTTGGCAATCCTGTTAGCAAATATGTATTTGCTATGTATTAAACAAGTTTCAGGTTAAAAATGTATCCTCATAGAAACCCCATAAAACAATCTGCAAGAAGGTAAGAAGACTAAAGTTGCCAGTGTAACACTGAATTTTCCTAGGGCAGCTCTATGTACACCTAGTGGTATTGTGGAAAGACCAAAAAACAGACCCTTTATTTGTTTTAATGTAACAGCAGATAAAAGATATTTAAACATATAGCACCTGCACATCCTCAAATCTAAAAAGAACAATAACCAAAGTTGAACCAAAACTGTACAGCTTGTATTAGTTTCTGGAAACAACGTTTCTACAAAGTACATCTCGTCTGTGTTTAGGGTGATTTCCTATTGTTTGTTAAACAGCTTCCAGTCCCATCTAGGTGCCTATTATTCATACAGCAAAGTGGCAAAGTAAATTTCTACAGTACATCCTACTTACCTTCTCCAAAAAAGAAATTCACTGGCCTTGGAGTCAAGATCCATTTTCACAAGTAGAGGGTAGATCCTTTGCTAGAATTATTTATTATGGCTTCATCATCTGCAAGTGAAATCAAATGAACATAAAATGAGCAACATCCAGGGACTGTTACCTTTCTCTCACTAAGGCAGGCTTGGTGGAAGGTCTGATATAATATATCGTACCTTGGTGAAAAACCATCAACTCACCTGATGATTTTTAATGTGGGAAAGCAGCAAGGTCTAGAGGGAATGTTTAGGACAGGCATGTGAAACATACCCTCAAGAGTAACCCCCAGTGAAAATACAAGTTCACCTCTTCAGAGAAAAGCTCATTAAAAACTGGCAGATCTCAGAGGTTTTATTGCAAACCAATCAACCTGAACCTGTAAAGGAGTCTGACCTCACCCCGATTCATGGGTCTTCTATTTTTGACTTTACCTGCTACTGATAAGAATTGATTTCAAAGGTTCTAAAATTAGCTCTGTGCATCAAAGGATGGTTATAGCATGTCTTGGCAATGTTGCAGTTTTACACGTTTTGCTGTTCTGTGTGTGTTCTCTAATTGGAAAAGTGTAACCCTTAAATCCAGGAATCGGTGACTGAGTTAACTTTCCTCTTGGAGAAGTGCTTGGAAATTGACTTCCTCATAAGTGAGGTTTTTTCCCTCGAATGCAGGTGGAAACCAGAGTGCAGTTCTCATAAAGTTAACAAGGTCACTTTGCTGGGCTCAGGCCTCATGTAATTTAAGTCACCTATTGCCAATGAAGGTAGGTAACATGCTCTGCCACTACAGATCACTCCTCTGAAACCAGAACAGTTGATTGTTAGCAGTATTAACCCACCAAAACCAAATGGATTTAAAATGTCCTAAACAATCAAAAACTGAAGAAATAAAAAAAAAATATATATAAAATATCTAAATGCTCATTTAGCAGTGTAATAAAATGAATGTGTATAGTGGGAAATAATTCTGTGCTTTTCCATTTAAGTGTTTTGTACTGAAAGATGTAAACACATTCATAATAACATCAACACAGGCAGGGAGTACCAAAGCCACAGACATCACACGAAGTTACCAACCCAGAAAGAAGGTACCCCTATGTCTTGTTTTTATCCTTAACACCTTTTAGCTTCTTTTCCTCACACATCTACCCTCCCTGCTTTTAGGCTGGAAGAAGCTGTGAAGTGGTAAAAGGAGTTTGTGCTCATAAAGGTTTGATGACTCGACCATCTGGCTGGGAACTCTCATAAAGGAAGCCCTGCAGAGGTTAAGGAGGTCAGAGACTACACAAGCTGGGGCTGAGGTGGGTCCCCGCACGCCTCTAACTGGCACCCAGATTTTATCCAACCAGTTGTAAGGTGCTCTCATCAACCTCCACAGAAAAGCATCTCCATGTACTGCTGACAAACATGACTTCTTTCTCTTGCTCGTTCTTCTAATTCTATGGAAATTTAAAGGCAATGTCTCTGCCCGTATCCCATTGTAATCAATTCCATCCTCTCCCAGTGCTCAGCTCATTAACAAGTGACCTGAAGGCAGGGGAAAAAACCCACAACTTTTGTATAATGGAACCTTGCTGTGTAGAGACTATAAAAGTAAACAGGCCTGGTTCACTTTAATAATAATAATAATAATAATAAAAAACCAAAAAACACCCAAACCAAAACCCCCTCCAAAAAAAAAACCCAAAATCTAGAGATGAAGAAAAAATACAAAATATACTCTTTTAAACACTTAAGATACCTGATTTTAGAAATTATTTACACGAGAGATACCCGTTCTTGCATTTGCAAATTATTTTTCCCTTCTAGAAGTGTTATCTAGAGCTGTAACTGTTTACACAATAATTTTGTGCTATGTGCCCCCAAACCATATATTTAAAACCTGTGCACACAAAGTTATAGGCTTCTGCTGTACTGATTGTCCTGGCAGCAGATAAGTACCCAGCATCAGGTTTATGAATTGCAGGCTTCATTAGTCTTAAAATGGTAACAAAGGAAGATGCGTCCTAAAAAGTGTCATCCTTCATCTGAGAGGGTAGTGCCTGACACATTAGGAATCTATATGCTCAATTAACCACTGGCAGGCTCATTTTTTCTGTGCCTCTCACTCAGCTTCTCCCCCCACCCCTTCCCCTAAGCACTCCACACTTCCTTCTGACTGAATCCTTCAGCCCTGCCATAGATAGCCCTGACGGCATGCAAATGCTCAGCTACAGGGCTGCTTGAGGGATTACTTTTGGCTGCTACTTGTTCTCTCTCAACCAATTTCCAGTGAATGGCCGAAGAACGTTACTGCTACATTTTGTTTTTGATTACCAAAAGGGAATACATTCAGATCCTTTGCCATTAAAAGTTAGTTCACAAATTCAGAATATATCTTGCAAATTAACACAGTCTGGTGCTTAAACTGTAATTTGTATTCATAGCTCTTGAGATCAAGAACACTTTCTGAAGAAGCAAAGTGTGCTTTTTTATATAAAAAATAATAGTTTTATCAGTCTGATATCAGCTTGTTAATCTAATATTTTAATTTGTCTATGATTTTATTTGTTTGTTATTTTTCTTTATTTTTTCCCCCATTACTTAAATATATCTTTAATTATATGAGTAGCCTTACTGAAATAATTTCAGCAGTCAAAATTTTGGGTGGAAGAAATAAAGAGGGGGGAAAAAAACCAAAATAAGAGGGGGAAAGTTAACAGGTAGGAAACACAGCCAATCAGAACAGAAAGCCAGTGTCCTAAATGGTTAATCTTCTATAACTATTAGCATACACATGATTAACTGTATAGTAGACCTGATTAAGTGTGTCTGTACATTATGCTAATCCCTGCATGCTGATTGGCTGACCTGATTAATGGTACACCAGGTTTTGTACAGCGATGGAAGGACGATGTGCTGGTCTCGCAGCCTCTCTGCAAAGAAAACTGTGGAAAATAAGGGAGCAGTGTTCAGCTAGTTACCCAATGCACAGCAAAAAAGGGGGACAAGAGGGAGAAGTTGTGCTGCATGTGTCTGAACACAAAGCTTGAGACATGAAGTTTAAGAGGATGAAATTGCTTTTACAGTTTTGCTTCCTAAAATTCTGGGTTTGGATGCAGATCAGCTAGTTACTTATTCTAGAGCTTGTCTTTGCTTCAACCTTTGCTTCAACACATATGCATGAGAACCTGCCACAGGAAATTATAAGCAGTCTGCACTAACTGCCTTTAAAGATCTTTCCAGAAAACTGCATAACACCAGTCTTGTGCTTCTGTATCTTGCTGAATGCACAGAATATGTAATTTTCAACCACACTTGTAATGCAACTAATTTCAGACAGCTTTTAAGGACTGATTCAAAGCATTTCTGAAGTCTCCAGAGGATATGAAGTCTTTAGAGGAGACTTCAGCAATGTTTTTGGGACTTGGTGGTTAAGTGTTCTAAAGATACGCACTTGAAAATGCAATTCATTGATGCCTCCACCCTGAATGCTTGTAAAAACAGATGATGTATATTTAGCTATACGGTCCTGCTTGTTATCGAGTTATTGACAGTGAAAGTCAGCAGTCTTACTAAACTGAAAGGACTTGCTAAATGGCTTCAATAGAAGCTTAATGTTTAGACAAAGAAGTTAAACCAGACCTATGCTTTGTCTCTTTCTCCACCAAACATACCCTGGTCTACATATGTAGGCATCTAGCATAAAAAAAGGTAAAAATGCATGTTCATATCAGTGTAAAACTACAAAATGTCTAGAAAATCTGTGTACTATTGATACATACCATCTATTTTAGGTCAGGTACACAAACTTTTTTAGCCATATACATTTATCCAGAGCAACTTCAGAGGATTAAGTCTCTGGCGTTTAAAGTGGTGAATAGCTTTTCTTGACTTACTTGAATGAGGTATTCATGTGAGGTCGATCTAGCTATAACTGGTCAAATTTACTAGCTGCTGTTGGCATGAGGTTGGTCTGTGACAATAAGTCCAGAATTCTTCTAACAAAATGAAGTTCCCACTAAGAAATATAGAAGAGTTGGGCTGTTAGTACTCTTCTTGTCCATACTTGGGTGAATTCATTCATAGCCTGTAATTGAAGACATGTGGAAACCTGTGTTCATTGAACACTGGCAGTGTTGGTGTGAGAGACTGGCTCAGTCCTTCTGCTTTATCTCCTGATGCTAGTCATGGCATCATGTCTGTAAGCATCTGTTTTACACAAAGATAACCAAGAGAGAATCCAAACCACTAATGACGTGTGTGACAATGATACTGCATAGGTATTTTTAATTGGTTAAATTTCATTGAGTAAGTTAAGCTGTTATTATGAATTCTTATTTAGTTTTGGTAATTATTTTTTTTTAATGATTCAAGGGATGTTTATGTTCACTACTAGTAATAGGTTCCTAGATGCTTGGGCTAGCTATATGATAAAATACTAACTGTCCCACAGTGAGGACAGAGCTGTCCAGACCCAGGCAATATGAAATGCTGCAGAAGTAGGTACGTCTTAAACAGGTCTTCCTGGCAAATGGAGACGTAACTTGGGTGGAAGCCCTTTTTTTTTTCTTCCTGTGGTCTGCAGCCCAGAAACTTTAATTAAAGGTATTTTTCTCCATCTGCTGCTTGCACAGAACACCCTCATTCTTTTAAATCATGGTAGCGATGGAAGGGTGGTGGTAGCATCATTTTCACTTGCATGAGTAAGAGATCCTTTTAGAAAAAGTGAAATGCAATGTTCTCTAAAGATTTTTTTTAAAACCACAATTGTTTATTAAGGGTTGGGTAAGCAGCAGATGGGGGAAAAGGGCAATTTTCTTCCTCTTTCACAAGTATTTCCCTACTTATGCGTTTTGCCTTAGACTCTCATTAAAATGTCATCTCAGTTAAATATTGAGATATGATCTATTTTGTGTGCTTTTGGTCAGAACCTCTTATTTAGAATAGGGCAGAGGCTGGTTTGAGTCCCATCAAAGCCCAAGAAGCTTAAAATGAACATCTTCCACCTCTTCAGGGTTTAATACTTTGTGGAGGAGTGAAAAGGAATCTCCTGTGATATGCTATATGATTACACAGGGAGTAATACGCTGAGTCTGGGAGAAAAAGGAAAGTCATGGTCAAGTGTTTTCTTCTATGAAAGGGCTGCACTCCTGGGACCACTTTTGTACACTGTCAAATGACTGCTTGACCTTAAGGTGTAAGGCAGACACCAAGATGCCCAGGTTGTCATCACCTGGGCCTGAAGCTGAACTCCAGGCAGGTAAGAACTTTTCTAAACACCTTGAGTTCAGATGTCTCATACTTTGACAATAGTGGAGTATCTAGGACCTAGAAGCCCTACTTCACTTTACTTTGGATGTCCAAGCCACCAACCCTTTCTAGTAACAGAAATTCATTCAGGTCACAAAATGCAGCAAACAAAAATACATTCCCATAGCTCTAAGGAATTCCCTT